CTTCCGCTATACCCCTAGGGGTTCCCCTTACTTCCGCTATACCCCTAACAATTCCCTTTACTTCCGCTATACCCCTAGGGGTTCCCTTTACTTCCGCTATACCCCTAGGGGTTCCCTTTACTTCCGCTATACCCCTGAAAAACCGCTGCCTCTGATCCGGGAGGTCACCAGTGGCCGCCTGGGGACCTGTGCCCGAGGGGGCGCCAAAGACGCGACCGCTAACCTGCACAAAGCAAGGATGATTTTGGTGGGGGTGTGTTTAGGGTTTAGGGTTTAGGGTTTAGGGGGGCATATTACTTCTTACAAACTGAATACGACATGCTCTATGTACCGTCTGTATCAGGTATTGTAGCACACAGATTACAGAGCCAAGAAATAGCTCAAACCATGTAATAGTGTAGTACTTATTGTGATGTATATATGAAAAGGACACAGTGCATAACATGCACATGCATCATAAGGAAAACAACATTAACATCATGTACATCTATATATATATATATACATACATATATATATATATATATGTATACATATACATATACATATACATATACATATGCATACACATATAGTTATCTGCCTTGTGTATATATATATATATATGTTTGGTACATATCTATATACATATATATATATATACATATGTATATATATATATACACATGTATATATCTATATATATATATATACATATATATATACATATATATGCGTGTATGTTCGTATATATATATATATGTACACGATGTAAACTCATGATTCATGGAAGACATACCGAAAAGTATTCTGTGGCCTCCATCTGTCTATTTCTAGCTAGCTTTTAGCATGTAGACATCTAATACCCTGTATACTGTCGTGTAGTATACATTGACAGTTTGTACTTTCTGAGACAATTACGCATAACCACCTGTCAGACATAATTTATTATGACATAAACTGTTACAAGAATACTACAACACAAGAAATACTATAAAACGCAGCATAATACATATATACATAAGCGCAAAATGTAAGGTAATATATACTATATTATACTGTGCTAAACGATACTATACCATACTATACTATATGCACTGTACTGTACTACACTGTACTACAATACAATACAGCGAACTGTAACACAATATACTACAAGGACTTATGTGTATGTGTGTATATATATATACACACACATATATATATATATATATGTATACACCGAAAAGCTAAATTCCATAAAACTTAAAAAGGAAAAGTGAAATATACACATATGCATATATATATATATACACATGCGAAAGTAGGTGTAAATGTAATGTCACAGGTTATGTATTGTACAATCTTCTCCCTCTGAATTCGCGTTCCAGACGCACCTGCCACAAGTACAAAGTATATCGGAAACAAACCCTATCAATCCCCAGCTCAAAGCCCCTCAACCCAAATCTCCGAACCCTTAACCTTGGACCCGAAACCTTCAACCGTAAACTCCGGAACCCTTAACCCCTAAACCCAGAAAGTCTACGTTCTGAACCGTATTAGGCACCCCCAAACCCAGACACCCGAAATCCAAACCTCTGAACCCCTGTTACAACACCGCAGAAAACTTAACCCTGAGGATGCTAAACCCCTAAACCCTAAATCCTAAACCTATCCCCAAGTCCTAAACCCTAAATCCTAAACCCTAAAGCCTAAAGCCTAAACTCTGCCTTCCGCTGCTCGGAGCGGCGAAGGCGCCGGCCTCCGACGTCAACCTTGCAAGGTTTTAGGGTTTAGGGTCTAGGGCTTCAGGGTTTAGGGTGTAGGGTTTCGGGGTTTAGGGTTTAGGGTTTAGGGTTTAGGGTCTAGGGTTTAGGGTTGTTCCATAATTTTGTATAGGTGTTTACTGTGCTGTTGCAGGGTTCTTGATGGGTCCTGTTGCTCAGATCCTATAGGTTTTTACGCGCGTTCGTAAAGTTTTGGTATGCGTCTTCTTCGCGTTTATATAGGTTACGTTGGGGCCCTCATAAAAGGTTATTTTACAGCTCAGACTAACTTCTTTCATGTGCTAAGCTGGCTTCGGCACTTGGGGGACTTGGCGGTTTGGGCATTTACCGACGCTGGAGCATTCTTGGTTTCAAGGTTTGGGGCTTGGGGTGGCTCAGGGTTAAGGGGTACTGCGTACTCAAGCTGCCTTGCCGCGGAGCGGCTCCTCAGCACCCACTGGAACATGCTCACTCGCTCGTTCTCTCATGCTCACTCTGTAACTCGGGGCCTTTCTTCGATTGAAGCAGCTCCCAGAGAACCCATTTGTGGACTAGGAAGTCCTGCTTTCTGTTCAGTGGACCTTCAGGAATGGATCTGGGCTCTACATATGGCCCAGCTGTTGAGGTTCGACACTATAATATATCACAATATACCTTAATTTTGTATATACTCGTATACTATACTCTACTATAGTATAATACTATACTATAACAGACTATACTATACTATGCTATACTATGTCCTTCCACACTCGGTGGACACACGCTGCAGCCTAAGGCCCCGGCGTCGGGCAGGACCTTGAAAGCATTCAGAGCCCGTTCCTTGCCAAACTCAGCAAAAAAGGATGACGACTGTGACTTGGCTCTCTGGCTGAGATCTTCGCAATTGCAACAAGGTTCCGAATCCACTTTTGAACCAACAACCCAAAGACCAAAGTCTGTAACACATGGTGCCTGCTCTCGCAGATTTAGCACTGTTTCCGAGACTCTCTTTGCACGGCTTCGTCCCTGAAGCTCTAGTTGAAAAAACATGTGGGGATTTCAAACTGGCTCTGATGATGCATGCATGCAGGCATCGCTCCATGTCTGTCTGTCCGTCTGTCTGTCTGTCTGTCTGTCTGTCTGTCTGTCTGTCTGTCTGTCTGTCTGTCTGTCTGTCTGTCTGTCTGTCTGTCTGTCTGTGTCTGTCTGTGTCTGTATGTGTTTGTCTGTCTCTGTCT